TATTATTAGTGATTTATTAAATAGTTCTCCAAACTAATATCTAATTATCTGGACTAAACTGTAGGATGACTATGTTCAAAGGCTTGAGGAGGCATCTTCTCAGGATCCAGAGTTAGTTGATGAGGATGCTATGTGGTCACAGACAGTGGGTGACCTTTATAAAGGTCAGATTCATGGCATGGGGGGAGCTTTGCAGACTCCATGTCCCCTGCATCTGTCACCGGAGATGCTCCTTTTCTTGCACCTGAAGAAGTGAAGGACATGGTTCGCACTCAAGTCCATGCCCTTAATGAAGAACTCCACAAGCAGAATGAGGAGATGTGGAAGAGCAAGAAAAGTGCATGGAAGAAGAAGTGAGCAAAGAAAATGGAGAAAAAGATAGAGAAGAAGGTAGCATCGAGGATGCAAAGGGAGGTCCAGTAGCAGATAGAGCAACAGCATATGCATATGCAGCAGATGCATGCATATTTTGAGCTCATGAGAGCAAGCAGCTCTACACCTCTTCCTCCTCCACCAGCTCCAGCACCACTAGTTTTCAGCTTCATGCATCATTCCTCTTCTGACTCCTCAACCACTGATATGATGTTCCTTCAGATGATGATCATACAAATTATTCGTGGTTAACACTTATATTTTATTTTTAACATTATTTATTTGGATGTTTTTGTCTTCATTTGTAATGACATTTAAATTTTACATTTTATAAATTATTTTTGAATTTTTAAATTTAATTTTGTAATTTTTATTATATTTATAAATTGTGATAATCAGGAACAAGCAGGAATAATTATGTATATAAACAAAAAATAACAAAAATAGTAAAATATATCATAGACGAATTACAGATAGATTTTTCTGTCTAGAAATTACAGACGGATTTTTTCGTCTGTAACTTACAGACAGATAAATCCGTTTGTAATTTTTTATCGACGAGAATATTATAGACGGTTTATGTCCGTCTGTAAATCCGTCTATAATTTCAAAATCCATCTGTAATGGTTCAAAAATCCGTCTATATATGCAGATTTTGTAATAGTGAACATAGAATGAGATAAATTATCCAATCATATCGTCTTATCCTAATTATTAAACGAGACTTTTAGGTGGTGCATCTTTGTCTTATATGTTGCTCAATTTCTCTATTTCTATTTAATATGAGACTTCTTCACTCATATTTCTGATCTCAATAATGTCCTTGCACAAAATCTTCTTTAAAAGTCTCATAAAAAACTTCAAAAAAAAAAATTTAGTATGATTTAATTTGATTTTTTAAACAAGTAATTAAAAATAATAAATGATAGCCATATAAAAACAACGTTTATCTTAAACGAAGAGACAACGAAAAAGGAAGTATCATAGAGATGCAATACCAATTGAAATTGACTTATTACAGTTTCATCTAAGTTATAAATCATAATCCTTTTAAGCTACAAATACTGTGAAAGTTTGACAGTGTGTTTTGATTTTTAATATATTGAGAGCTAAAACAAATTTAATAGTGCCTGTATTAATTTGATACTTACCTGGATCGACACCTCAGGCAACTACAACCTCAACAGTAGCACCATGCATTGTTAATTCTTTGTTAATTTTGTTTCTATATTTATAATGAATGTATGCCAATAATCATGTTTCCACTATTATTTTTATGGCTGTTGCAAGTGGCATCTCAACCTATTAGTAGTAGTGTTCAGCCCACTCATTTGGTCCTAATCATTTAAGAATTTTGCATAAGACTTCTTAAATAAATGTATGTCACTCTTTCTTAAATGCAAATTATATATTTTCCTTTATTGATCATTCAATTAATTATTCACCTTTGGAGGCCAACCCTTTGAGAGGTATTATTCAATTTAGTGCATTGCCATTTAGATGATTAGGCTACTGTGTTGAGGGCTCCATCATAGAGCTGCAAAAGTCCAATTCCACTGCAAATGTCAATTTCATTGTTACCATATCAAGACTCAAGTTCTGCGGAGGTTCATATACTCAACCAAAGAAGATCTGAAGACTCATTTTCTATTCTTTATCAGTATCTAGTTTTTCTATAAAATCTAAATTTTTCACAAATTTGGTGTTGTTTTCTTTCTGAAAAACAATATATGATACATATAGTGTTCAATAAATGGTCTTGATAGAGATGTGCTACATACTTCTGAGACTAACAAATGGTTACTTTTCTTTAGAAATAGTAGATTATGTATGCAGTATTTATGAGAGTTCAGTTACGTTCCATTTATTAGTTCCCATTATACGAATGTTGTTTTTTGTTACTATGCGCAATAAGTCTGTACTTTGTTCACGGATTTTGTCTAGAGTATTTGTGTTATCTTACAAGTTCATTGTGTGTTCATTCCTTTTGGTTTTGGTGTAGTCTAGTGCTGTTGTGTAGAATCTTTTTTTTTTTTTCGTCATCCATGTGTTTTTTATGCATAAATGTTAAACTAATGAAACTTAAATGGCTTTGATTTATTACAATAATAGATAACAAAATATAAAAAGAAGATGAGGATTATGTGATGAAAATTAAAATTAGAAATGACATCATGTACTTGGGATCGATTTTATATGGAGAAATCAATAAAAATGTTACCTATAGAAGGTGATTAAAGTAGAATAAGACAATGATGTTTATGTGAATGTAACTTACTTATTTAAATGAGGGAAAAATTTTATGGTATTACAATATAATTAATTATCTTACATAATAGTGAATGTTAGACTTTAAAAGAACAGTATGAGAAAAAAATAAAAATGACAAAAAATAAAATATTAAAACAAAAGAGTAGTCACATGAAAAAATATATGATAAAAATGATTATATATGCGAAAATATTATAATACTACCTATAATGAAAAGAATGATAGAAAATTGTTTAAAGTGTTTTAGTCACGTACAAACAATATAGGATATTGTTAAGGATAGTAGATGATAACTTTTAATCTGATAAAAAAACTATAGAGAGAAACTCAAAAAAATTTAAAAAATATCTAATAATAAATAATATTTTTAAAAATTTATTTTTTAACTAATTTCATCAGTGTTTAATGATTCATATACCTCATTTGACATTTGACACTTAAAGATTTAGTAGTTGTTGTAATATCATTTCAAAAGGTATAAGAACGATGACCAAATCCATTACAAAAGCAATTACCATCCCAAACACCTTCAAAGTTCTTTGACAAATGTCTTGGAGGTTCACACAATAACTTTATATTTCACAATAACATAACCTACGCCCACTTCCTTCATTATTAGCATAACGAAGACGTTATTTTTATGTTGCCAACAATGAAGATCTTTAAAACTACCACCATTACCTACATTAATTATTTCCCAACCCTTTTTCTTCTTACTTTTACAAGTAATTTTGTCCTAATAATAATAAAATGATAGGGGAAATGGACAAGGGAAATGAAAATTATTTTTTCCTATCAATAATTTATTTGTTATGAAAAGTTTCAATAGAATTTAGACATTCATTCCCTTCCTTAGATTAAATTTTAGAGTTTTTATGGGAGCATTTCCCCAAATTTTTTCGTTTTGTAGAAATATGGAAGGGATATAACTCATGAGAGAGACATTTCATTTGTTGAAGAAAGGACATAACTCCATCGTGACTTTCAAAGGACAAATCCATGCATCGCATGTTTTTGGTACATAATATGCCATATAAGCATTTTTGTTAGTGATAAAACAATGCTATGTAAGTATTATATGACTTATGAATTGAAGATTTAAAGATCTTAAGAGTAATTTTATTGTTAAGAAAACTAAAAGCATGTTTGATTTCTTTTTTAAAAAATAATTTTCTGTTTTTAAAAGTACTTTTAGATACAGGAAACTGTTTTTTAAAAAGAAAATTAAACATGCTCTTATATTAACACTTATATGAGCTAAAACTATTCACTCTATGGTTAAGTCATTTTTTAAAACGTTAGTGTCCAATGACATAGAAGTTTCAAAAATGATTTTAATATTATGAAGATGATTACGTATGATAGAGTCAACCACCATAGCTGTTGGCTATGGATTGCAAGAGTATCCTTGAATTTTATTTCTTTGAATAAATATTTATAGGAATGAGATGAAAGCCGCGATTCTATCTAGGGACACTATTGACACACTAGGACCAACGAAACCAGAGGCAAGAAATTACTAGCAAGCCTAATTAGTGTTGGGGGATCTCTCTAGAAAGAGATGACTCTCAAGTAAATTTATTTTGGATGGCTTTCAAAAGATCTTTATCAATTTAGTAACGGAAAGAAAAATAAGAATATAAATTTTACTTTAATTAAATTTCCATATCCATTTATGATCGTTGTTTGAAGCAAATATAGATACCAGTGGCTGCAAAAACCCATATCAACTGTTGACATTACTTAGAAGCATTTGCTTGGAAGGGTTACTATAGATTATATTCTTATTTTCTTTCTGCTGATAAATGGAAAGAGAGATGTCAACCAGCAATTATATTATTACCGTAAGCAGATGATTCCAAGGATAAAAGTAAAACTAATGAAACATGTTATAAAAACCATTAACCCTTCTGCGAACTTCAGAATAGCATCGAAGTAACATCAACAGCAATCAGAGAATACAAAATCTGTAACATCAACCAAGAAAAATGGTTTCATGTGAAAGAAATGGTCCAATTCGATTCATATGTTCTACTGAACAATAAGACAGGAGAAAAATCACCAAACAACAGGGCTATCTGGTCCCAACTACAAAGAAACGAACATATATGTCAGGGAACATAATACACATGTTGAACATGTTTGGGATTATAATTACAAAATATAAAAATAAAAAATCTAAGTTTATGGAGAATGTCAAGATTCATCCAACGGGTTGCCAACTAAGCTATCAAACTTGTACAGTGAATGGTCCAGAGGGGTCACCAAAAGAGGAATACCTCAGCTTTCAACAGTACAAAAGACAGCGATACAAGCCACGAAACCTCACATGGGTGCCAACAACCTATTGTCTTCCTTTTTCCTCTAAAATTTACTGTCACATCGCAACCCTTTATCTACTCTGGCATCATTAGAAGAGGCTGGAAGTCCTAACACCACAAACTCCTCAGGATGACACCTTGGACATATCTTTGGTTGATCTGTTGTATTTCATGTGACTCTTGACTAACTGCCCTGCAGCAATAGCAGACATCAGAGACAGCTCCCCTGCCAGAACAGATCCTGCAACAATGGTGGCCAAAAGTCTTGAGTTTGATCCTGGTGAATCCTTGCTTGCACCCTTCACACCAAGCAGATTCAAGCAAGCAGACTGAGAAGCTAATTGAGTTCCACCCCCAACTGTGCCCACCTGAGGGGACCACCACAAGTCATATACAATCTTAGCACATGCATTGGAAAACAAAAATGTTGCTCCAAGATCACAATTTTTTAGTACAACCTTCACACCTTTCCCTTTATGATAAAATCTTTTAACCATAAAAGGGTGGGTGTGAAGGTAGTGGTCAAAATTGCAATGTGAAAAATCAAAGTTGATTGGAAAATTAACTAACTAGAGACAGGTGCTAAATCACCTCAATGGAAGGCATGGTCACTGAGATATGAAGGTCTCTTCCATCATTCACAGCTTCCATCATGGTTATGCAATGGGAACTCTCAACATTCTGGGCTGGATCTTGACCAGTGGCTATAAAAATGGCAGAAACAATGTTGCCAGCATGGGCATTGTATCCACCTAGGGCACCAGCAACAGCAGAACCAGTAAGGTTTTTGAGCATGTTCAGCTCAACCAAGGCAGCCACATTGGTCTTCAACACCTTCTTCACCACATCCTCTTTGATAGTTGCTTCACAAACTACCGACTTCCCACGTCCCTCAATCCAATTTACTGCGGCAGGTTTCTTATCCGAACAATAATTTCCTATAGAATTGAGTCAATAAATTACCATCACATTTCAAGTTTAAATTCCCAGAAAAAAGTAATTCCAGCATCCAAGATAATTATTATAGGCATCAAAATAACCAAACAAAGAAAAATCCATGGGGCCCACTTAAATATTCCATTTATAAAAACGAATTGATGTACTAACTTCAAAATTAGAATAGAGTAAAATATAAAAAAAGAAAAATTATAATAGAGTAATGAAACTTACTTTTATACTCAGTTAATATTACTTAGCATGTCACATTTAACATGAAAGTGTAATGTCTGAAAAGATTATACAGTACTTCTTTTGAAGGGAGATCCCGCAATTAAGTGAAACACTAATTGCATGCAAGCAAACTGAGAAACCCAATACCTGAGTTTGAATTGATGAACGAAAATAATAGTAGAACACAGGAGGAATCCAACGTGATATAAAGGCAGGTGATGAATCTGAGAGTGCGTCACGGTTCCCATTTTTTACATCAAATTCACAGCTCAGGAACATATAAAATGAAAGAATTAACCAATTCTTTTCTTATTGAAAACCAGCTAATGAGAAAGTTAATGGAGACTGGTCAGATTAGCATAAGTAGATGGAACAGACAAATCAAGCTCAAATAAGTATCCAAACAATTTCTACATGCATAAGTACTATGACAACCTTCCATGATACAGGCCATCGGTTAAAATAATTGAAGAAAACACCCATAATGACATAATGATAAGAACTAAAGATACGTATCATATAATTTCAAAGAAATTACCTAAATAAATGACATAAAATTGGAGTATAGAGGACCACTTTCATATAAGAAAAGCGCATAATTGAAGGGACACTAAAAATAAGATCCTTTATAAATACACAATTATTTATCAGCATTGAACAGTATCACTTGGCATCAAAGCAAATTTGCAAAATAATATTAGGGGGTTGGGGGGGTTCAAACCCAATAAAGCTAAAAAGGGCATAAGAATTACCAGAGATGCCGATAACATCCATGTCAGGGAAATCATTTTGTAGGAAATCAAGGACATTCTGGACCCCTTTGGAAATCATATTCATCCCCATGGCATCACCTGTGCTACAGGTAAATCTAGCATAAACATTCTTCCCAGCAATAGAGCATTTAATATTTTGAAGCCTGGCAAATCTGCTTGACCTGTAGCACCAGAAACCAACCTCAATTTTCAATATAAATTGAAATCTCCCACTAATAAAAATTAAAAAACTGCAAAAAATTGTTCCTTATTCTCACCCATCCACTCAAAAAAGGTTTCCCAGCCCAGAAAATCATTCAACTACAGTATGGAAACTTGACAAAGAAAATAACATAAATCCAAATTTCAAACAACTACAAGTATTGAAACTCACCGAAAACAACAAAGGAAAAAAAATGAAATATAGGACCTTGTCTCCATGGAGGATAAATCCAGCAACATAAAAAATAGCATGGCATGAATAAATACAAATAAGAAAAAAAAATTAAAAAATGAATGAAATTCTGAGACACTAAATTTCTCAACCCATCCATCAGAAGAAGAACGAAAGCAACCTTCCCTCTCAAAAATACATCATGAAGCAAGACTTTTGTCACTTATCATTTGAAAATCACTTTAAATTCCGATTAGTTCAAATCAAGCTAAATGATTCCATGTTCAGAAACTCCCTATACTTTCCATTTAGACCGACTTTACCAACAAACTCTAATAAGGCATAAACCAAAATCATAATCAGGGAAAAATTAGAAACAACAATTCCCTTTTCGCCACCAACAACATTAATTGAAAACAAGTGACCAACCTATTGAAAACGACAGCCAAGGTATCAAAATTGAGAGGATCTTCAAGGAAGAGCTTCAATTCTGCAGCTCTAGTCGCCGTTGCAAACCTCACAACAGGTGCTCTGCTCATCCCATCCCTCAACACCACACTACTGGCCCCACCAGACACATAGATCGCCTTGCACCCTCTATTGGTGCTGGCCACCAGGCACCCCTCCGTAGTGGCCATTGGCACCGTGTACTCCACCCCGTCCAGCAGCAGCGGCCCGGCCACGCCCACCGGCAGCTGGACGTACCCCACAGGCATTTCGCAGCACTGCCCCAGAATAGCCTCATAGTCGAAGCCATCCAGCGGCAGGCCAGCAAGAGAATGTCCCGTCATCCTTTGCAGCGCTTCACGCCGGATAGCCGCCGCACGACGGCAGTCCCCAAGACGCGCTTCAAGGGAGTATGACGCGACAGTTCCGTCAATGACAGAGTCGACAATGCGGTTATCATCATCCACTCCATCTACCGAGGAAACCAACAACAACTTTTGTTTCTTATCAGTGACAGAGTGGACAATGTCAGCATTGTCAGTTTTTAAAGACACCAATGGAGTCACTGGTTTTAGGTAACAGTCCCCGAGACATGACTCTGGCACCGTGCCTTTAATGACGGATTCTACGATGTCAGTATTCTCGGTTCCGTCAATCGAGGTTGGTTCGGTGAATTTGGAGGGGTCCTCGTCGGAGGGACGGGCGACGAAGGACTGAACGAAGTGGATACCAAAAAATCCAAGGAGGTAAATGAAGGAGGCGATGAGGGCGAAAATGGCGGCGATGTCGGAGAGAGTGAGGAGGTGGAGAGGGGAAGAGGTGCGGATCTTGTCGCGCCAGCGGTTGAGGAGGTAGTAGGCGAGGGAGAAGAAGAGGGTGAAGAAGACGGCGTTGGTGAGGTGAAGGGGGAGAGGGAGGGCGTCGGAGGCTTTGGCGGCGGCGGTGGTGGTGGTGGTGGCTGTGGCAGCGGAGGAACGGCGACGGAGGTCCATGGTGGAGAGGGAGGGAATGACACAAGAAGGGAAGAAAGTGTGTTGTGTGGTGTATTTATAGGAGAAATAGAGGGGTGGGGTGAATGGTGTGAATGGGGAATGATGCAGATGATGATGGATCCAGACACTGAGTGCAAAGCGCGGGACGACTCTCCTCTCCCCCCACACAGGCTTTTCGTTTCCCCCACGTGCTCCCTCGTCCCTACCCTCTCTTTTTCATCTTCCCTTCTTTTATCCCTCTCTTTTTTAACTTTTTTAAATTATAATACCATAACTTCTTAATTCATAAATGTAATAAAAATTATAAAATATTAATTCCAATATTTAAGATTAAATTACTTATAATTAAATTTCATTAAAGATGCTTATTTATTATGCTTTTATCATTTAAAGATGAGTTTAATGAAAACTCAGAAAGAGTTACTACTTGTGCGTATATTTAAGAATGCATGCTAAGAGTAATTAAATATACTTTGTAAACTGTTTCAAAATATAATAAAAATTACATATTAATTAATTATAGTGACGTTATTTATTTTTTATTTAATATACATTAAATATAAGATAAGTATTTATTATTCTTTCATTATATTATATTTTCATTTAATTTTTATATCCTATTATTTTTTATCATATTATGTGTACTAAATAAGTTTAAAGATTATAATGTATTTAAAATTTAATTAAAAGAGATTAAAAAGATTAATACTTTTTTTTGCTAATATTAATAATTATTTTTTTAAAATTTAATAAAATAAAAATTAGTAGGCAACAAACTAAAAAATATTCTATTTTACCTTATAATTTTTTAACTTTAACATCTCATAAATAAAATCTATATTAAATAAATAGATAAAATAAATGTATAAAATAGACACCAATTTAAAAGAGTTTTATTAATTTACATATTGTATTATAAAAGTATTAATTTTAATACAAAATGTATCTTTCTTTTCCTTACAAAATTTTTCTTTTTCACATAAAAAATTATAATTTATTAAAATATACATTATTTTTAACTTATAGGAATAAAATTATAATTATAATATATAGTATAATAAAAACTTGTTAAAGAAGTAATTTGATTAACTGGAACTGAAAAACATCTGAATTCCGTAATCATTACAGAGAGGAATATTGGTTTTCACTCTTTTACATGCAGTCACGCTTAGAACGTGTGAGACAGAAACGTTATATTCTTTGAAGGGAGTGAACTTTGTTTTAACTCCACTGATTATAATTTATTGTGGGTGCGTTAAACTCAACAGAAAAGATTCCTTCTTCTACATGCACTCACGCTTAGTGCGTGCAAGACTCAACAATAATGCTTTAAACTTTAACGCTTGTGAACCCAGCTCGTTTCAACTTCAATAAAATACATAGAACCCAGATCATCTCACGTTCAAATATTTATATTATTTAATATTTTTTAGAAAAGATATAATTAATTAATTTAACTGTTGATTTCAATGTTCTTATTAAATATATTAATTTTATAAAATTTCATAAAAATAAAATTAATAATTGTTTTTTCGTGTTATTTTATTTTAATTAGTAATATATTTTTAAAATATAAATAAATATTAAATTTTAAATATTTTACTTACATATGTCAAAATCATGTAAAGTTCCATATACATTATTATAAGAATAATATTATAATAATTTAATAGTTAGATTAATTAATATTATATTTTATAAAAATTAAAAAATGATGTAAAGAGTGAACGGATTGAATTTAAAATATATATTAAAAATTATTTTAAGTTTTTTATTTTTTATTTAATAGAATATATGTTTATATTAGTAATCATAACATTTACTCATTTTTAAAGTTATTAAATTGAGAAACTTCTTTGTTTAATTTGTGAATATTAACGCTTATTTGATTATAAAATTACTGTACAGTTCAATTTTTATTGGTTTAAAAAAAGTTAAATTCAATCCAATTCAGTTTAAAAAGGCTTGCATTGAATTCAACAATTCAATTTTTATAATTTTATTTTTAATTTGAAAGAAATAAATAAATTATTTTATCTTTTTTACACCATTTTAAAATAAATTTATATTAAAATATGATATACAAGAATAATTTTAAACTATTCTGAAAAATATATTTATATAATCAATCATAAAGAATAATAAAATTTTTTCCTAAAAAATAATAATGTGGTATAAATTTAAAATAAAATTATGAAAAATAGTTAAGTAACATAATTTTATTTATAATCTTAAAAGTATGAGTGAAATGTTATTTTTATATAAATAAAAATATACACATAAATTTGGTTTCAACTGGATTGAATTTTCAAAGTGGTACCTGAAATCCAATTTAAACAACAACAAAAAATTAGGGCTTGTTTGTTTCTATTTTAGTTTTAAATTTTTAAAAATTATATCTTAAAAAAAAATAATTATTTTTAAGAAGAAAAAAATAATAAAACTTATGTTATTTTAAAAGAAAAAATATTTTAAAAATGGAAAATAAATGAACTCTTTTTACAATTTTTAATTAATTTGATTTTTTAGTTTTTGTTCAATATTTATGGTTTACATTTGATTGGATCGGTTGATGAGATTCTTTCGAGTGCTAGATCTCGTTTTCATCATGGAAGTGTTTGTTTTATTACATTAAGTGTTTATTTTTTAAATTCAATGTTAATTTAAAATTTATAATTTTTACTTTTAAAAAATTAAAAATGAATGTCTTTATTTATTTTATTTAAAATAATAAAATTTTTATTACTAATAATTATAATGTTTACTCTTTTTTAAATTTATAAAATTAATATTGAGTACTAATTCTTGAATAAGGGCATTTTAATAGTTTTCTCAAGTAGGAACACTTTTAAAATTTGTTTTCCTTTCATTCTGTCATGCCCTTTGTCTAGATTGAGCATCTATTATTTTAAACTAATATTAATTTAAATTTTTATATTTTATTTTTTATTTTTATTTTTATTTAAATTTGTTGAATTTAGAAATACTTAATTAGATCATGTATTTTTATTTAATTCTTTAAAAATTTAATTATACACATATAATGGACAAGAAAATTACTAGTATATCTATGTTCATATAGAAACATGTTTCACTCTTATATTGGACCAATTATAAACCAATAGCCCAATAAATATTATATATGCACATATAACATTTTGTATATATAAAGGATTATAGCCATGAGAAATGCAATCAATTGTGAAAGGCAATAGAATTCTCAATAATTATAGAACAATATACTGCAAATCATGCAACTATCAACCTCACTATCATATCATATAATGACTATTAGAAAAGTGACCAGTGCAATGCACGGATAAATTATTATGTTATAGTATAATATTATAATTAATAATTATAAAATAAAAATAATTGTATAAAATATTTATAATAATATTTAAATTATTTTAAAATTTAAAATTAATTAGTATATATTAATATTATTCCTAATAAAATGATTTCATATGTTATATAAAGATTTATAATATATTTTTAAATATTTATAAATTAACTTTAAAAGTAAAAACTTTAAACTCAAATATAATTTAAATTTATAAATTATAAATTATAAATTTAATTCTATAAAATTTAAAAATATTCTTATAATTAATTTGTAATAATTTAACATGTATATATACATACCACAACATAAGGATTTTTAATAAAAAAAATAAATTTTAATATATTTAAAATATTTTAAGGCAAAAATTATTGAAGAAATAAAATTATATATTTTATTTTATCTTATAAAATTATATAGCACATAATTTAAGGATAAAAATAAATAATTTTTTTTTATTAAATAAGCCTATTTTATGTTTCTAAAATCATTGTTATGTATTAAATATCATAATTTAATCTCTTATTATTAAATCATATATTTATTAATTATATATATATATAATTTAGTTTTAAAAAAATTATAATTTAAATATTAAATTAATTATTTTTAATATAATAGAGAGATAAAAATTATTAAATGAAAATTTTGATTATTTTTAAAATAAATTATCTATAAAAAATAAATATAACAGTTAAAAATAATTTATATGTGACTTTAAATATTATAAATATTATTATAAAAAATTTAATTATAGATTAGTAAATATATTTATATGTCACAGAAATTTGTTTATATTGTAATTAGTATATATTAATATTATAAAATTATAATTTAAATATAAAAAATATAATAATAAAACTATATTATATTAAATAATATCAAATATAAATAGATTGAAAAATAAGATAAATAAATTTTCATATGTAAATTTTAGATACTTTATATATTTTAAAAATTTAATTAAGATTTATAGGTGATCCGTGCAATGCACGGATAAATTATTATGTTATAGTATAATATTATAATTAATAATTATAAAATAAAAAATAATTCTATAAAATATTTATGATAATATTTAATTTATTTTGAAATTTAAAATTAATTAGTATATATTAATATTATTAATAATAAAATGATTTCATATATTATATAAAGATTTATAATATACTTTTAAATATTTTTAAATTAATTTTAAAAGTAAAAGGATTAACCTCAAATAAAATTTAAATTTATAAGATTATAGATTTAATTCTATAAAGTTTAAAAATAATTTTAAATTATTTTAAATTTTAAAATTAATTAATATATATTAATATTATTACTAATAAAATGATTTCATATGTTATATAAAGATTTATAATATACTTTTAAATATTTATAAATTAAATTTAAAAGTAAAAGATTTAAACTCAAATATAATTTGAATTTATAAATTATAAATTTAATTCTATAAAATTTAAAAATACTCTTATAATTAATTTGTAATAATTTAACATGTATATACATATCACAACATAAGGATTCTTAATAAAAAATAAATAAATTTTAATATATTTAAAATATTTTAAGGCAAAAATTATTGAAGGAGTAAAATTATATATTTTATTTTATCTTATAAAATTATATAGCACACAATTTAAGGATAAAAATAAAT